TTTTTAAGATAGAATCTTGCGGCTGGGCGCGGTGGCTCAGGCCTGTAATCCCAGCACTTTGGGAGGCCGAGACGGGTGGATCACAAGGTCAGGAGATCGAGACCATCCTGGCTAACACGGTGAAACCCCGTCTCTACTAAAAAATACAAAAAACTAGCCGGGCGAGGTAGCGGGCGCCTGTAATCCCAGCTACTCGGGAGGCTGAGGCAGGAGAATGGCGTAAACCTGGGAGGCAGAGCTTGCAGTGAGCTGAGATCCGGCCACTGCACTCCAGCCTGGGCGACAGAGTGAGACTCCGTCTCAAGAAAAAAAAAAAAAAAAGATGGAATCTTGCTCTGTCATCCAGGTGGGAGTGCAGTGGCACGATCTCAGCTCACTGCAACCTCTTCCTCTCAGGCTGAAGCAATTCTCCTGCCTCAACCTCCCAAGTAGCTGGGATTACAGGTGCACACCACCATGCCCAGATAATTTTTGTATTTTAGTAGAGACGGGGTTTCACCATGGTCTCGATCTCCTGACCTCGTGATCTGCCCATCTTGACCTCCCAAAGTGCTGGGATTACAGGCATCAGCCACCACGCCTGGCCAATTATTATTTTTTAATTATTTATTTATTTTTATTTTTTGAGACATGGTCTCACTGTTTTTTTTTGGTGTTGTTTTGTTTTTTCGAGTCAGGGTCTCACTCTGTTGTCCAGGCTGGAGTGCAGTGTTGTGATCAAGGCTCAGTGCAGCCTCAACCTCCTTGGGATCCGGTGATTCTCCCACCTCAACCTCCCAAGTAGCTAAGACTACAGGCATGCACCACCCACCCAGCCACCATGCTCAGCTAATTTTTGTATTTTTTGTAGAGATAGCATTTCGCCATGTTGTCCAGGCTGGTCTCGAATTCCTGAGCTCAAGCAACACCTGCCTTTACCTCCCAAAGTTCTGGGATTACAGGCGTGAGATACCACCTGTGGCCCAACGCCAGGATTTTAAATTGGGAGACTGGGCCCAGACGTGGTGGCTCACACCTGTAACCCCAGCTTTTTGGGAGGCTGAGGCGGATGGATTACCTGAGGTCAGGAGTTCAAGACCAGCCTGGCTAACATGGTGACACCTCCATCTCTACTAAAAATATGAAAATTAGCCAAGTATGGTGGTGGGTGCCTGTAATCCCAGCTACTCTGGAGGCTGAAGCAGGAGAATTGCTTGAACCTGGGAGGCGGAGGTTGCAGTGAGCCGAGACCGGGCCACTGCACTCCAGCCTGGGAGACAGAGCAAGACTCTGTCTCTAAATAAATAAATAAATAAACAAACAAACAAACTGGGAGACCAGGAAGGCCTACCTGTGAAGGGGACTTGAGGAAGGTGAGAGGTGAGGGGGTGGCGCTCTATGGGAAGAGCGCACCAGGCAGTGGAAACAGCCCCCGCTAAGGCCGTGAGGCCAGAGGCTTATTCCGCGGGAGGCCAGTGAGGTTACATGGCTGTGAGCAAGAAGAAAACGTACAGGAGCTGAGGTCAGGAGAGCCAGGTGCAGGGAGTGGAGGACAGATCCTGGAGGGCCATTTTCAGGCCAGCCCTCGATGTTTAGTAAATCTACATGTCCTTAGTCAAGACTGAGATTCCTGCAGGAGGTACTGAAATCTTTCTGGGTTTATCTGCAGCCGTATCTTCATTATCTGGGAATTCCAGGGCTGTCCTTGGGATGCCAGCCCAGTGTTCCTGCAGGTCAAGTGCTCCTGAAGGGTCTGAAATAGGGAGCAGGTACGAAATGTCAGTTTGGGAACACAGTGGCCCACACTTGTAATCACGGCACTTTGGGAGGATGAGGCAGAAGGATCACTTGAGCCCAGGAGTTTGAGACCAGTCTGGGCAACACAGTAAGAACCCATCTGTATAAAAAATTTAAGGGCCGGGTGCGGTGGCTCAAGCCTGTAATCCCAGCACTTGGGGAGGCTGAGACGGGTGGATCACGAGGTCAGGAGATCGAGACCATCCTGGCTAACACAGTGAAACCCCGTCTCTACTAAAAAAATACAAAAAATTAGCCGGGCGTGGTGGCGGGCGCCTGTAGTCCCAGCTACCCAGAGGCTGAGGCAGGAGAATGGCGTAAACCCGGGAGGCGGAGCTTGCAGTGAGCTGAGATCCGGCCACTGCACTCCAACCTGGGCAACAGAGCGAGACTCTGTCTCAAAAAAAAAAAAAAAAAAAAAAATTCTAAGAATTAGCTGGGTATGGTGATGCATGCCTGTAGTCCCAGATGCTTGGAAGGCTGAGGCAGGAGGATCACTTGAGCCCAGGAATTTGAGGCTACAGTGAGGTATGATCTGCCACTGCACTCCAGCCTGGGTGACAGAGTGAGCCTCTAAAAAACAACGACAAAAATCAGTTTGGAAAGGTGTGAGAGCCTCTATTCCTGAACCAATGCAGAGCAGCTGAAACCCAGGGTGGGCCCATTGGGAGCTGGGAATTCACCCCACACCTATTCTAGCCTGATTTCATCTTCTTGTTGGCTTGCAGAGAAGGTGGCTAGGGGACTTTGCCACACCCTTGGGTTTTTTGTTTGTTTTGTTTTGTTTGTTTTTTATTTTTTTTTTTGAGACGGAGTCTCACTCTGTCACCCAAGCTGGAGTGCAATGGTACGATCTCGGCTCACTGCAACCCCGGCCTATTGGGTTCAAGCAATTCTCCTGCCTCAGCCTTCCGAGTAGCTGGGATTACAGGTGCCTGCCACCACGCCCAGCTAATTTTTTTGTATTTTTAGTAGAAACGGGGTTTCACCATGTTGGCCAGGCTGATCTTGAACTCCTGGCCTCAGGTGACCGCCCGCCTTGGCCTCTGAAAGTGCTGGGATTACAGGGGCGTGCCCAGCCCCACCCTTGGGTTTTAAAGTTAGGAGTTAAATCTGAGAGGAATCACTGAGAACCAAGTCGGAGAGAGAAGTCAGGCTGTAGGGCTGCTGGAACAGGTAATATTTTTTTTTACTTTAGACCAGTCTCCCCTCCTTAGCTGGGTTGTGTGTCATGGTTTGCCTTCCCTTATGGCTTCACTGCAAAGCTCTTTGGGAGGGCCCACAGATAGGTCTTCCAGGGATACGAAGGACAAGGACTTGGGCCCACAACTCAGGCAGGGGACAATAGCAGGCCCTTCGAATGGTAAGGCAGGGAGGCTCTCTAGCAGGCCTGGGGATGAGCCGGGCTCCTCAGCCTGGCTGGCCCAGGAAACTGAGCAGGATCTTAATTGGGGCAGGGGGTGGGGGTGGGGGTGCTGGAGTGGGAGGTGTGGTTACAAGTCCTGAATGCAGAGGGGAGAACATGAGCAGGTGGAGGGAAGCTGGGACATTGTGCTGCAGTCAGACCTGGGGGTCTGGCTGGGTTAGGAAGGGGCACGGGGTCTGTTCCAGCCAGGCCCAGTTTAAAGGAGAGGTTGATCTGTCCCCTTAGGCAAGCATTGGGAGGAGCCTGATTCCTTCTCTGAAAGAATACAGTGTAATCTGTTGTTTGAGAGGATTAAATGAGATAACCAATAACCTCCTCTCCCAGGGCTGGGTGCTTAGAAAGTGCTGAAGAAGAGGAGGGCTTTGGGAAGCAGGGCCCAGGTTGGAAGGTTAGGGGTGGTGAGGACTGGAGGACACTGGGGCAGACTTCACCCCTGCTCAGTTGTGCCCAGGCCCCTCTGCCTGGGCTCATGTGAGGAAAGAAACAAAATGGGCAGCGGGGGTGGGGGGGAAGGGGGTGGGCCTGGGACTCCCACCAAGGCAGGTGGCTGGTGCTTAGGTCCGCTGAGAACTTGGGACCAGAGTTACCGGATCTCCTAATGCCTCAAGAAAAACAGGGAATCTGGATCTGAAATATGAAATCTTCCAGTTTTAAAACTTTGGGGGGGCGCGGTGGCTACGCTGTAATCCCAGCACTTTGGGAGGCGGGCGGGCGGATCAAGGTCAGGAGATCGGACACGGTGAACCCCGTCTCTACTAAAAAAAAAATTAGCCGGGCGGGTGTGGGCGCCTGTAGCCAGCTATCGGGAGGCTGAGAGGAGAATGGCATGAACCCGGGAGGCGGAGCTTGCAGTGAGCGAGATCGCGCACTGCACTCCAGCCTGGGCGACAGAGCGAGACTCCGTCTCAAAAAAAAAAAAAATTAAAATTAAAAAAAAAATAAAACTTTGGGGATTGGCCAGGCGTGGTGGCTCACGCCTGTAATCCCAGCACTTTGGGAGGCCGAGGCGGGCGGATCACTTGAGGTCAGGAGTTCCAGACCAACCTGGCCAACATGGTGAAACCCCATCTCTACTAAAAATACTGTGTGGTCCTGGGCAAAAATTATCCAGGTGTGGTGGTGCACATCTGTGATTCCAGCTACTCAGGAGGGAGGCTGAGGCTGGAGAATCACTTGAACCCAGGAGGCAGAGGTTGCAGTGAGCCAAGATTGGGCCACTGCAGTCCAGCCTGGGCAACAGAGTGAGACTCTCTCAAAACAAACAAAAAAAGCAAAAAACAACAACAAAAACAAAAAACTTTGGGGATTAACAATACAACAACAGAAAGCACCACACAGGCCAAGTAAAGCCCACTGCCTGGCTGGTGACCCCCTGTCTAGCAAAGGTGTCACTGAAGGCAGGCCCTCCTGGGAGGAGGCTTCTCACTCTTGGAAATGGGCTCTTGATAGACCCAGTTTCCTGGTGATTGCTGGGAGAACAGAGCTGTCCTTTTGGGTTTGTGGTCCTGGGCACACCCCTTCCCCTCTCTGGGCCAGTTTCCTGGTCGGTGAAAGGACCTAGTCTGCGGGGCTCCTGCCCGTTTGGACAAGTGTGTGACTCAGTCCCTCAGCCTCGGGGAGGGAAGATACGGCCATTATAGTGACTCCTCCCAGGAACTGTGCTTCCGGGATTGGACGCAGGGCCTCAGGCATTTTGCGTGTCCACAGTCACAACTGTGTGAATATAGGTGTGTCATAATTGGAAGCTTTGCATGGCACAGTGTAAATATCATCGCTTTAATGACTTTGTTCTGCAACCTTTCATCGGCGGCTCTGGATGCCAGTAGAAGCTTTTATTAATTCTCCCTGTGACCTGGGGAGGACAGGGTCCTTCCTCCCATTTGCTGTTTAAGGAAACCCAAGCTCAGAGCTGGGAGGTGACTTGGCTAAACGTGCACCACCACTCGTGCACCACTCGGAGCCATGACTCAGGTGTCGGTGCTTTGGTACTGTGGCACCCCTCCTTCAACAGGGGAGAATGAGAGTGGGATCTGAGGGTCCTCTCTGTGCCCATCACAGTTTGAGCTGCAGGGAGGAGAAGAAGAAGAAGGAAAAAAGGTCTTTACCCTTGATTTTTCCACGGGAGGAGAATGTATGAACCCAGGCTACCTTTCTGGGCCTTGTGTCGAAATCCCTACCTGTCTCCTCAAATCTCTTGCCCGGAATCAACCTGGCCTGTGTTCTCTGCGGCACTCTGAACCTGGAGACGGACTGAGCCCCCAGCAGTCTAACATCTTTTGCAGTGTCGTGAATAGCGCCTGTTTTCGCAGGGGCCCAGTGCTCCGCCTGGAGAGGAGAGAGAACCCGGCAGGCGGGGAGAGAAGACTTTGGGTCTAGACCCTCCCCTCCCATCACCCCCGCTTTTTGTGCGCCCTCCTCTTCCCCTCTTCCCTGTGTCCCCTCAGCCCGTCTTTTCCACCTGTGCCCTGGACTGCATTAGGGTGTCAGTATCTGTGCGCTCCCCTACCCCCACGCGTAAGCCCGCGCTCCTGCACTGGGGCTGGGGGACTGCGTCTCGCGGCTGCGGCCCCCAGCGCGGAGGGCGCGGGCCCTTTAAATCCTCCGGGGCGGCGGCGGCGGGCCGGGGATGACATCAGCGGGCGGGCCCGGGGCTCAATGGGAGCCGGCGGGCGCGCGCGGTGCGGGAGCGCGCGAGCCGGCGGCGGGGGCGGGCGGGCAGGAGGCCGGGAGGAGGGAGGCGGCGGCGGCGGCGGCGAGAGCCCAGAGCCAGAGCCCGGCCGGGGCCGAGCGGAGCGCGGCGGCGGCGGCGGCGGCGGCGGCGGCTGGGCCAGGAGAGGCTGGCGCGCCGGGCGGCTCCGCGAATCCTCCGGCATCCGCCCCGGCGGGCCGCCCCCGCCCGTGGCAGCCCCCCGAGCAGCGGCCCGGCACCGGCGCCTTCCCGGAGGGGTAAATATTGGGGGGTCGTGGGCCCGCCGAGGGGCGCGAACCTGGGGGGAATCGGGGCTCCCTCACCCTCTTTGTTTTTGCTGGAGAGGGAGGGAGGGGAGGGCGGACACGCGCGTTCGCGCTGGGGTGTGGGGGGGGCAGCCCGGGCGCCGCCCGCTCGGCCCGGCGAGGACAAAGGCGCGGCTGGGGACAAGGAGGAGGGGGCCTGTTATTTTGCAGGCTCGCGGGGGAGGCCCCCTCCGGCCGGCCTGCCTCCGCCTCCCCCCGCTGGACCCTCCGAGGCCACGGCCGGCCAGGCGGCCACCCCGGCTGTGATTTGGGGACGCTGAGGGAGGGGGCCTGGGGTGCTGGGCGCCGGATACTGTTGATTCGGGCCCGCGTAGGTTTCATCGGACAATCGACGGCGCCCCCTGCTCTCCCAGCCCCGGCGCCCGGACCTGGGGGTCCGCAAGGCTGCTCCCGCTCGTTGGATGGCGGGCGTTTGGGGGTCCTAAGGTGAAGATGTGTGTGGTCACCAGGCCACCGATTTGTTTTTCTTTGTGGAGAGAAAGAAAGGGGTGGGGGTTATTTATCGGATCGGATTCTCCCATTTTTGTGTGTGAGAGATTCGTGTCTTGCAAGTGTCTAAGGAACGTAAAACTGTGTCTGGGTATCGTTAGAGAGAGGATTCCCAAGCCCTTCTTAATATCCAAACTCGAAGTGGGGTGAACCCCCTCCCCAACTTTCCCCTTAGTTTTCTTGCATATTTTCTTCTTGGCATAGTCTCCTTCCTGGAGAAGGATTTGGGGAGAGGAGAAGGGGACACAGTGTCTCAAGTTGCTTCCAAGCAATGCCTGTTTTGGATCTCCTTTGCTTTCCTTTCTATGATGTCCCTTCAATTTTTATTTTAATCGTCCAAGGGACAAGGGCCCTGGCTCAGGGGTGGGCGATGGTGGTCGGGGAGTAAGAAGCACTGCCCGTGTGCCATGCTGGTTGGTAGTTTGTCTAATTTTTTTAACCTGCTGAAACTCTTGAACCTTCCTATACACTTTTCCCCCCACTTTGTTTATCTCCCCCCTCCCCCATGGGAGAAGCAGCAAAACGGAAAAGCCTCTCCATTTCTGAATGAAGCCTTTCTGCTCTCCTCTGGGAGGCTTTTTGGGGATTGGTGCCGGGACAGTCTAGGCTCCCCAAGGGACCTTGAACCCCAGGGGTGTTGGGGAGGGCACTGGGGGTCTGGATGGCTGGCACAGAGCAGTCGGGGTCCTGAAGGCCTTGCCCCTCCCCGCTCCCGTTTTCTGCAGACAGCCGGTGAGTGGGGAGAGACTGGGGGTCATGTGCAGTATATTTATGTAAGACACCCAGACAGAGGGCATGGGTATTTATATAACCCGGCGTGGGTATTTATGTAATATAGGATGCGGGTATATTTATGTTCCTTTCCTAACCTGCGGGTTTCCTGGCTGCCGTGTGTGGTCTCTGAATTGGTGTTGGCGGAAAATGGACTGGGGTGTGGGGGGTGTTGCGTGCACACCTCCCCCCCGCCGCCCCCCGCAACAGGGCTCACTGTGCGTGCCTGCTTTTCTTTCTTCCCTTGGAGTGTACACACTCGGGAAGCTGGACGTGTGTGTACGTGGGGTGTGTGGCGTGTGGGTTTCCTGCAAACGTGGACTGCGTTCCCCTGGCAGCGTGGCACCTCAGCTGAGACAGGCCAAGCATGTGGGCAGTGGCCCTTGATTGAGAGCCCAGAGTTTGGCCAGCTTGGGTGGAGGTCCCTGCCTCATGGTTATTGGTGGAGGGCTGGTGAGCTCCTGGGGAGCCAGGTTGCTGGGGTTGGCCTTTCTCTCCTGGGCTCTGCCCACTGTCCCTGCAATCCATCTCCCTCCCAGGCTGGCCTGGTCGTTGGGGGCAGCACTTGGCACGGGCAAGGGGCTGATCTTCTGTGCCAGCACAGCTGCTCTGCAGTCTTCCTGTTTTGCCTGGTTTGTGAGTGTGGGAGACCACCAGGTGGGATGGCCGGAGCCGTGTCCTAGGCGAGGCTGCTACCGTCTACAGGGTGGTGTGGGGCAGGTGGCGTGGCCTCTGTGGGCCTGAGTACCCTGTCTGCGAAAGGAGTTCCCTCTTGCTAGTCCTTGATGCTGGTTCTCTTGTAATCACCCTTCCCCCTGCTTACTGCAGTCCCTGGTCCCTGTGCCCACGGCAGCACTGCCTCCAGGCCTCCAGTTTCCTCCTCTGCTGACCAGGAACAGGGTGTCCAGACTTTTGCCCCAGGCCAGAGCAGAGGGGTCCCTCCTAGGGTGGCCCTGGCCCTGAGGAAGGAGAGAAGCTGCTCACATCAGAACTCCTCCTCCCACCCCTCAGGGGCTGGCGGCTAAAACCCTGGCTCATTGCCCTCTGTTCTATGAGGGCCCTCTTAGGAGACCCTCCTAGTCTTGAAGGACGCCAGCTCCAAACAGTTTATCCAAGAGGCTACGGGCCTCCACGTGAGGTTCTTGGTGTCATGATGTAGAGATGGGGAGGCGACTGGAAGGTGGGTGGTCTAGGGTGTTTCTTTCCTGCCTTCCCCCCATTAGGGGATATGACCTTCTCCTGCAAGGCACGCTGGGCACCGGTGAGGTCTGGCCTCTGGGCAGGGGCAGTACTTGGGAAGACCAGGCCAGGCTGTGGGAGCCTGGGGATAGGAGTGGACAGGCCCTGTCGTTTCAGAGGTGTAAGAGGGCTGATGCCCGTTGTGATCCTTTGAGAAGCTTCTGTTGAGGGGCCCCTGAATGAGTATCCCCCAAAGACATGCTTGCTTGGCCGCTTCCCCTCTGGCCACACTGAAACCTGACCTCAGCCTCCCTTAGCTGTTCCCCAGGTTTGTGGAGTGCAGGCTGCGGGCCGCCTGACACCTGCAGAATGTGGGTCTTCGAGTTCCTGGTGGCTCTGCCTGGCCTTGGGCTGGACCCCTTTCCCGGCTCCCCACTTCACTGACCCTCATGTTCCTGCTTCCTCTGCAGCAAGAGTGAGCCATGGAGCTACGCGTGGGGAACAAGTACCGCCTGGGACGGAAGATTGGGAGCGGGTCCTTCGGAGATATCTACCTGGGTGAGTGTTCCTGACTCCAGCTGGAGCCCCTGGGGCCAGCCTGTGGTACCAAGAGGAAGAAAGACCCCAGGATTTGGGGCTCTGAAGTTGGAATGTGGCTCCAGGGGCATAATTTGCCCCAGGGCCATTCCAGGTCGGGAAGGAAGAAGCAGGTAGTCAGTCGGGAGGCAGGCCGGGGGCTCCTCCTGTCACAGGCCAGGCTGGGCACTGGAGGGTATTTTTAGCTCCAGTTTCTGCAGGAGTCATGCGGTTCCTCTGTGCCTCAGTGTCCTGGGTCAGCTGGGTCCCCAGCTGGGTGTGGGAAAACCCAGGCGGGGTTCACATCCTTTGCCTTGCTTCCTGGGAGAAGGATACTGGTAGATAAAAGAGATCTGGGTTGCTGCTGGACCCCTAGCCAGGCCCCCTCTCTATGTCCTGGTCTCCTGGAACCCAGCCCTGGCAGGCTTTAGGATGATGCAGGCTCCCCTGTAACCTCGGGGGCGGGGTGGGGGGGTCTCCTCATTAGGGAGTTCTCTCTCTTTTTCTCTCCAGATGTGCTTCCTGTTGAAAGTATGAGTTTGCTGTGATGTTGCATTTTAAACAAGTCACTGACCTCTCAGTCCTCCCCTTGGCCTGGGAGAAATGAAGCTTGTACCTTTCAGTGCCACTTTTGGGGGGCACAGTCATGAGTCCTGGCCCTTCCTTTGTGATTATTGGTCCAAAGGGAAGGTATTTAGTGTTGGTGATTGTGGATTGGGAGCGGAGGCTTGGAGTTGCTGGAGTGAGGTAGCCAGCCCCTCTAGGATTTATCCTCATTCCTGTCCCTGCGCCCTCAGAAGCAGGTTACCCTCCTTGGCAAATGAAAATCAGCTCTGTCCAGTGCAGAGATCACCAAGTCTGTGGGCCGTGTCCATCAGTTCAGAACTTCGGGGTTTCTGTTACCCCGTGGTTAGGGTCCCTTGGAGTGTGAAATGTGTTAAGGAAGCCTCAATGGAGACAGGGTCGGAGACTGGGAGTTCCCTGAGCACTTCCTTGCAGGGTACTTTCTGCAGCCCCTAGAGATAGTACCAGATTCTTTGGCACATCAGGAAACTGAGGCACAGATGGTCATGTTGGTCTCTCAAGACCACTCTAGAAAACTGGCAGAAGCAGCCTGTATGCCCACAGCCCGCCACATGAGTGAGAGCGTGGAAGACAGAACATGCTGAGGGAGATGTTAGATGTCTAGTTCAGCGTTCTAGACATGGCTTTGTGTGGCTGTGGGAAGGTCATGCGGCTCCTCTGTGCCTCAGTGTCCCCATCTGTAAAGTTTGTGATAATTCTGCCTGACTGATGAAGAAAGGTTCTAAGGCACAGATGAAATGACAGATGGAAAAGTATTTTGTAAACTCTAAAGTGTCAGCCAGATGTGCAGTTCATTGCTGAGTGTTCAGTGGATGACTCTCCCCTATGGACACCTGGGAGCTCAGAGGGAGGGAGAGTGTGCGGCGCAGCTGGTTCATAGGTTTTCTCTGCAACGCCAAGCTACTCCCGGGGAGGCAGGCGTTAGGTAGTATCTGCTAGTGGTCAGCACAGTGGGTGTTCACTGAAGGCTAGTCAAGCAAACCAGTGAGAAAATGGGGACTGTGACATGCACAGGCATGCACAGCA